CTTTTCCTGAAGGTAGAAGAGTTTGTTGAATCTGACGTGACTTGTTGGTACCAACTCTTCATATGAACAAAAGTAAGAGAAATTTAGGATAAGAACACAAACATGTTCTTGCATGAGGCCCATTGTCACTAAACCTGAAGAAGAATCTGGGCCAGAGCTTATCAAGGCAAAAATAAAATCCCAGTCTTTGGATGTGAGCACAGATTACTGGAGATGAAAAGACATCAGGTCTAAAAATCCCTGACAGTTTCCTGAGTGGTCCTGAGCTGAATGGTTGGAAAAAACAAGACCATCAATCTGATCAGCAGTGAAGCACTGATGTCTGCATTTACACGGATGGATGGATGGACGGACGGACGGACGGACGGACAGATAGATAGATAGATAGATAGATACAGTAGATAGAGAGCCTGAATGAAAATATTTGTTAAAATGATGAGGAATAAAACTGGAGCTTTGTGGCAACACGTCCTACCAGCTCTGTGTTCACAGAACCAAACACTGCATGTTGAATCTGTGCAGGATGACAGGAAACCTCAAGACTAACAAGGCCTCCTAAAGAGAAATGTGTAGCAGACGTCTCAGAGGTCCAGTTGTTGAATAAAATGAGTTATCAGAACCTTTTTTATTGTCAAGGCCAGCTTCATTAGCTTCTAAATGTTCATATTWCTGTTGAACCTGTTTGAAACAATAACTGATGTTTATTAGTGGAGTTTTACTGAGTTTTAAAAACTTATACTAYTTCTGCTCATTTCAAGTTATTTCACTGACCTTTGTGGGATTTTATTTTCTTCAAAGAAAAGGTAAAAGTCATTTATCTGCATGTGTAAACATAAAGAGGTGTTCACAGTCACTTTGTACCCAAACAACATGTGGTCTGGATGTTTCTGCTTCCTGGCTGTGCTTCCCTTGGTTAATAACTGAGTAAATAAACCAAACATAAACGTGACTCATAAAGTCAAAAAGATGTTTGTTGTTGATCCTGCAGCAGTGATTCAACCCAACGCTGACCGACTTCTGCACACTAACTTTTTACTGAAGGTTTCTGTGAGTTTCTCTCCTGGCAGAATCTTTACACATTTCTGTTTGTTGATCTCACATCTCAAAGCAACATAAAACGACAGCGACTGTAATTCATTAGCTTGGTAAATATTTACTGCAGGGAAGTCAAGAATAAAAGGTAACAAAAACAGCTAAAAGAAAAAAACTGAAGTTTTCAAATAGGTTTAAACATGATAACTTTCCAATAAAATGATTTAGACCAAAACCACAGAACAGAACAGGGTTTTACAAAAAGCAGTGTGATAACACATTAATATTTAAATATACTGCAAGTATTTACTACATTTTATAACAAAAACACTAAAACAACAAACTACATGAAGGCTCATTGTTTTGTTTCTTTTCCTGAAGTTTTGGTAGTTTACCAACTCAGACTTTACTAAAAGATATTATTTTTCACTCATAAAGCAACACAATGTGCATCTCAGTGCTGTTCACTATGATGAATTTGGGTTCAGAAATGATGATAAAACATGTTTAAAGATGTGATTTAAAACAAATAAAACACACCTCAGCTGTGAATTTATTTCATTCCTTCTTTTTGTGTGTCAATGAGTTGTGTAAAAGCAGTGTGAGTGTTAATTGTGTATAAACCTGGTGTGGCAGGAGCTACAACAACAGGAAGTGATCATCTGAAACAGCCCCGTGTGGTGTCGCTGTTTCACACATCGCCTTGTCCCACAGCTTCAGGACCAAGCTGCAAAACGTTGATTTTTACAAAGAAAACCAGAAATAATTACAACTAAATTAAAAACTGGAGTTTTATCTGTTATTATGATTTAAATGTACCTAAATTAACTGTTTTAAAAATGTTAATGTTTCTATAATTATTTTAAATAAAGATTAGTTTTCATTGATTCAATCTTCCTTCTTTTTGCTTTAATTTTTTTTTTACAGGAAAACTCAAACATTTTTAGTAAAAATCAAACCATCTGTGTGCTGCACAACAACACAACACATCTCCCTGTGTGCTGCACAACAACACAACACATCTCCCTGTGTGCTGCACAACAACACAACACATCTC